CAGGTAACAATGACTGACCAGGACTTGATTGATGCCACGAGATGGCTTGTTATTGCGCTTGGGCTGTAGGAGCCCCTCCGGAGTCTGTACAAAACCCTAGTGAGTGTCGTCGACGATAAATAAATATGGATGGCTCGGGCTGCACGCCGCAGTAGGTACAAGAGAGTACCGTCATATGCATTGCATTGCACTCATGCATTTATTCCTCATCTACATTATCCGCCATAATAATTATGTGCTCTTATTTCATTGACTGGTTGCTTCATACTGTTCTGAGATACTGAGCCCGAGGGGCTGATACTTTTCTGAGATACTGAGCCCGAGGGGCTGATACTGTTCTGAAATACTGAGCCCGATGGGCTGATACTGTTCTGAGATACTGAGCCCGGGGGGGGCAGATTTCTACTTATTATTTTGATACTGAGCCCGAGGGGCAGATTTTTACTTATTATTTTGATACTGAGCCCGAGGGGCAGATTTCTACTCGTTGGTTTGATATTGAGCCCGAGAGGTAGATTTCTACTCGTCATTTTTCTGCCAAATTACCTGCCCGAGATGTTTCACTGAATTGTTATTTTAAATGATTGCATTGCTTCTGTATAGAGTGTTGTGTGCCTTAACGTGTTTTCTTACCCTCAGTTATTATTTATATTTATTACTCACTGGGTCGGAGTACTCACATTACTCCCTGCACCATGTGTACAGGTACAGGTATTCCTGAGGCATAGAGCGAGTTTTCTGCTATTCAGTTTTCATCGGAGTTATCGAGGTAGCTGCATGGCGTTCGCAGACCCGTTTTCTCCCTTATCTTCTGTAATTATGATATCTTCAGATGTCGTTCCTAATTCCATATCTTGTAGAATTTTAGTAAACTCTGTAGTAGCTCATGACTTGTGACACCCCCGGTTAGGGCTGAGTTGGGTTGGATTTTCGTATTTTATCTATACCTTCAGCTATTGGATATTATTAAACCATGTTTATACTATAATTATGTTAATTAACTATCTTAAAAGGATGAATTGGGTTGAATGACTGACCTTGTATTCATGAGAGGCGCCATCACGATCAGGTTCGGGAATTGGGTCGTGACATATTATAATTACAAAATCACAGGCAATTGGAGTTGAGTGCTTTTTCTTGGAAAACTTTTTTGATGATATGATTTTCAACTCTTGTTTGGAAGTTTTCTCTGACTTTAGGTATAGCTTTTAGCTATAGTGTGAGCTACACAGCTGTGGATTCCTTTGCTGGATTGAAAATAAATTGCCCCCTTAACAAAAAGGAAAGCTAGATCATAAGCAAGCAAGCTAGCTGGGAAAGAGAAATTGTGCAGTTTGCCAGTTAGCATATTGTTGTATCTTCTTTAACTCTTTTTGTTATCACTGCTTCGTGGATTTATACTTGGATGCTTAATTGACATGAGCACATATTACTATGTTGTAATTTTATACCAATTTTCTAAAATCTACTTAAATATCTTCACTCCACAGGATGCTTGGAGGACAACACTTCTTCGAAGAGTGAAGGAAACATTGAAGGCTAAGGATCTCGAGGAAGATGATCTATCTTAATTTGTTCCCCTTTGACCTATTGTAAACTACTAGTACATCCTTTATTTGATTTTATTTGTACTGCTTTCAAATATGATACTTTAGTTCTTTGTATTAACAAGATATCAAGTATTTGGTTTATTTTCCATTGTTGTTGAGCGTGTATGAAAACATATAAATAATTATTACTATTCACGTAATTTAAATTTTTATTATATTTATAACATTTTCATATTAGCAAAGAAAAATGTGGTCATTAAAACTCTTTAACGACATGTTTCTCAAATAGATAAATAACTATTAACGAAGAGAGTTTTTGTTATTAAAAGTAATTGTACAATTAACGAAGGGAATATCGGTCGCTAAAACCACTTGAATTAACTTAATACATTGTTGTCGTTAAAGACTTTTAACGACCAGATAACAAATTAGCGAAGGGAAAATCATGTCGCTAAAATGCATATTTAACGATCGAATTGTAAACCGGTCATTAACTTTTAACGTCGGGACCTTTAACGACCAACGACGATCGGATTTGTTTCGGTCGTTAACGACCGGAATTGGACTTTTAACGACCAGATTTCCCCTCACTAAAGCCCTATTTTCTTGTAGTTCTTCCTTTAACTTTTTAACACCATACATTTCCTTATGTTATTCTGGAACCTTAAGCGAAACATCATGCCATATCTAGATCTTCTGTACTCTTTTAACTATACCTCTCGGTACCTGGAAACTGTTGGGTGGAAGATATGCTACTGATGACACCACTATCATTTCTTGATACAAAATTACGATGCTTCCAGCCCTCTATCAGATATTTATATTATTCGTAACCTGTTGTACTTGGGCATCTCGCACCTTCCTCACATGTACCTTAGTTATCTTTAAATCTTGCATCATATATTCTGTCTCTTTCATAACCTCCCTTCCACATAGGTGAAATTCACATCCACAACTTGAAGCTCTACTATAATACTTGCACTTGTAGTGCATACACGATCCAGTTGGAGCTTCATATTCACTTCTTATGAGGCTGGTACACTTCTAACTGGCTTTATCATAAAGCCGTTATAGAATATGGATAATGTACTATCTCTTTTGTTCCTCTGATATTTAGAGTGATTCTACAATGTTTTGAATCACGATTTCTATACTCAACGGGGTCTAATAATCGGACTCTTAATTCATTTAGCTAATGTAACTCTTTAATTTCCTCTTTTATCTCAGCCTTTAAGTAGGCTTACTTTATCTTCTGATCTGATGCTTAGGGTATTATTTATTACTTTAGCCCCTCGGGGATGCTATGGAATATCCACGATACAACCTTCTAGCAATTCAAGCTTTTGTCTATGACATGGACTCAATTATTTCTTTTAACTTATACTGGAGTATCCTATGGCTGTATCATTTTCAACGTATATGCTGGATGGATAACACTCCAAAATATTAAGCATGTTCATAATGTAACTAACTTCGGGTCATAGATCGAATAGTTTCTTTCGTGCTTTCTCAGCTTTTGTTAAAAGTAAGCAATTACTTTTCTTCGTCGTTCTGCTACATGTTGCATGAATACTTGGCATATCTTAGTGCCCACATACATTGGAACTTTGTGCAACTCATATGGTCTCGAATATTACTTTGGATTTTTATTTCTCGTTCCTTAGTCACGATAAGTACCACTTTCTTATAGTGTGCATACAATATTGTAGTGAGACTGTTGTTACAGGATCATTTCTTCTTTAAGTCATTATGCTTATGTTGAAGCCTTCTTCCTTATTTCCTCAGTTAGTCTTTTATTGTAGTGCTTAGGGAAAACCCTCTGACTCTTGTAAAGTAGCGAGCTCAGTACATTGTTTACCCCTCGGAATTTCTGATGTTCTTACATGTCTATCATTATACTTAGTTACTTACCTCTACATCCTTATGCTCGTAAGGTTGCTTCTGAATTGATATTTCAGTTGTCTCCATTGTGGTACTCTCTTTTATTTCCGTAACACTTATACTGTACCTTCTACTACCCCAACTCCTATTTGAATATTTCTTGAGTACAATGTCGTATCTGAGAGATAGAATTTCCTATGTTGGGTTTCACTATGTTTATCTTGCATGATCTAGTAATTTATCTGAGACCTCTTGTCTAGCCATAACAAAGGTCTTTCTGAATCAACTACTAACTACACGTCAATCCATGCTCATATTTATATTCTACATAACCTCTCTTGGGTTATGTCTTTTATCTTAACTTACCTTTTGCATTGGCTCCTAATGTATCAAACGATCTTTTGCAGTTATTTATCAATAACATATAGTGTGCAAACCTTTACTACCTCTCCCGACATCGTGCTTGAATAATGTTCTAGAGTCGTAACTTTTACGACCCAAACCTATGGGCCGCGACGGGCACCTAGTAACCTACTAAACTGAGCACCAACATAACATATCTTTTCGTATCATCCTATCATATATAATTGAGCCGGAGAGGCTACCATGAAAAATGTAGAGTACAACATGTGATACCAACTTATACATTAGTCATATGGGCCTTTAAGCCCAAAATAACTACTCGTATACTAAACATAGGCCAATAAGGCCATACAATCTCTTACGTACATGACATCTGTCCACAAGCCTCTAAGGATGCATAATTATCATAAAGGTTGGGATAAAGCATTATCATACCAAACAATACACATCTAAATCATACTGACCAAACGAATAACTCCAAAGCAAATAGAGAGCACCAATATCTTTCGCTGCGCTAATAGCCTACTTGGAGGGATCTCGATATGTTTATTGGAACCTGCGAGCATGAACACAGCGTACTCAGGCAAAAGGGACGTCAATACAAAATAATGTATCGAGTATGTAAGGAACATAAATAAGTACATAAAAGACATGGAAGAAATATAGAGTAAATGACTCAACCTGTAAGTCTGGATAACTCTATAAATCATAAAATAATTATGGTGTCATGCATATGCATATGAATGTCATGTCGTGCATAGGAACATGTTTCATAACATCATCAGGTCTCTGAGGGCATCCCATGATATCATCTCGTCCACTGTGGGTAAAATCATCAACGTATANGTCATAAGACCATTATTCCTCTAATTAATATCATGAAATAAACTTTACCAACTTACGTATTTTTTAGACCCATGAACAAATAATAGAATAATATGATACATGGGGAATCAATAACATAAGCATCTCTAGTATTTCTATGAATAGAGTCATTTATGGAAGTTGTGTATTTGCTCATTTCGTTTGTATTGTATGGATCATGATATAAGAAAGAAGGGAATGCCTTAAAATACCTGAGCCGATTCTCTTGATAATTCCTCTAAAATACGTTAACTGCGATAAAAATACGGAACAAGTCGTATTAAAAGCTCAAAGCAATCACGTTGCTTATTCAAAGAAAATTTTGGCCGAAACCTTTCCTTAAAAATTGTACAACAAAGTTGCTATTTGGAATTGGAACTAACTTTGCTATGTCTTGGATTAGAGAGCAACTTGCATAGTAACATTTCTTGGATTGTAATGTTTCTAAGATATTAGAAAGTGAATGGAATCATATGATTTAACAATCACTCTTTGAAGCCTTCATCCATTAGCTAACAAAATATAAGAGGGAGGTCTTTTAAGTTCATGGTTTGTGGCCCCAACATATTGGGATGACTACGCCACTAATTTGCCACCTATTTTTGCAGTTAGGAGTCACTAAAATTAAGCTTGAATTGCTGCCATGTTTGGGAGCTTTAAGCTTATCCAAATTTTATCTACCCATTTCTTTAATTACGTGGTTAATCTTCTGCTAAAAATTCACAATGAACTAAATATCCACATAATTGAGACTTATCTCCAATTACTTACAATACTACTTACTTTTATCACACTTTATACACCTTACTATCATGGTCAGGTGGTACTTTAAATGGTACTAGTCCATAAATACCAGATGTTTTAGCTCGGATCGTATTTTACCTCAAAATGTCAAACTTTGATAATATTTATTTTCTTCAATTTTCTAACCCTGTTACCTTCACGAATTTACTCATCACTTGTTTGAAATAGCATAATGCTTATAATAACAAAATAATATTGTTCTCGAACTTACGATGAAATTTTAACATACAAAAATGCAGGATGTAAATCTCATTTTCGATCTTCCATCAATTTACATATGGCGTACTTTCACATACGAAAACATAGGGTGTAACATCATTCCCCCCTTTGGAACATTCGTCCTCGAAAGTTAACTGATGCACTTATCCTTTTTATAACCTATGGCTCTTGGGAATACTTTGTTACTCTCCTTGCCATCTAGGCAACTGTTCTGTGAACAAATCCAAAGGCTAGGGCATTTCCCCCTTTAGGACTCTTTCCCACACTATGATTTGTGATTGAAATCCTTCCAATCTCGTAATTGTTGATACCTTCTATCATGCAGCCTTTACGATATTGACCTTGTAAATGTGCCTATGCGACTCTTCCCTTTTGTTTCCTCCAGATTTTAGCCAATTTCTAGGCTTCACTTTGTGAACATATATAAAATTATGTCAAGCTGTCCCTCTAGGAGTCATTAGCTTTACTACATCTAAGTAAGTTATGCTATACCATAATTCTTACTTCGATTTATCATTGCGGAGGTCTGCTACCAAATTCCAGCTTAACTATTGTTGCTTATCCCATATGTTTAAATCTAACTCCTTTAATTCTTCCTCATTACTGTTCATCTTAAGAATGACGACCTAATCTCAGTTCATACTTTGTGACTTTTGTCCATCCATTATGATTTGCCTCAATATTGATCTACAATATACTACTGATAACTTTAAACTTCTTACGTAAAACCTTGCCACTAGGGCTTACGTAGTATCGACTAATATTTGAAGTGATTTCCATAATCGTATTTCATAGTATCTCGATGTGATTCACCTTATGGGGGTATTCTGATCTCATACCATCCGCGAAATCTTTTCTTCTTCTCCCTTTTTTTCTTCAAATCATTATTTAATCGAAGGCCCAAACGTTATCTTTAATCTATCTCAATTACACCTTCATTTCACTACTAGGGCATCATTCTATCTCTTCTAAATGCTACTAGTCTTAAACTCCATTGAGTTCATTCAGGCTATAC